AGGGATGGCTCAGGGACGAAATATGACATCTTTCATTTTTTTGTATGTCTAATATCTGTTACTTGTTACGGTTTTACACACATCCTTCACTTTGTAGGCCCTCCAAATCCCCAGTATTTTTCTGTATATTCCCCACCTTTTCCCAGCAGTCTGGTTGGTGAATAACTATGTAACTATGTCCTGTTTCTGCTCTCATGGGATGAAACTGTGAATACTGTGGAGCTGCATTTGCAAAAACAACCAAAATGAATAGGTGCAATAATCATTAACAGGTTGGGTTGCTTGGAAGCGTGAAAATAATTTGTGTACATAAACTCCCTGTAAAAAGAGGCGAAATAGACTGAAGACATCTAGTGCTTTTGAGTGCTTTAGTTTAATTAGTACCTGTTCCCATGAAATCTGTACAGAAACCATAAGACATTTTCCTTTGCCAAGGTTTGTTGTGTTTGAAAGAAGGAAATAGCGAATTACAGTCTTAAAAGGCATTCTGTATGTGTTGCATGAAGGGAAGAAGGGTTAATCATCATAGAAAAAGGAAATTTGCCCATATAATTGAGATAGTAGTCAAGTAAATAATGATGTGAATAGGAGAGATTGTAAACAATGTGGTGAGCTCTAAGGTATTTTGAAAGGAGGTAGCATCTCTCTCTCTCTTAGGAAAGTTTTATTCCAGGTCTAGTCCAATCTGGTTTTCTGGAGTCCTGTCTGTCTGGTAAAACTGGAGGTAACATTTCTGTGGCTCTTTGAGCTGGTCTGACTTGGGGCTCTTGCGGTCTTACTGCCCCCTCGAGCCAGCACTGACTTCATGTTAACTGGCAGCGAGTTGCTTTGGGGAGATGAACAGAATAAAAAGCTACGCTGTCTTGCAGGAGTGGTTGGTGTCTGGCTGGACAGGCCCCAGGACTCATCTGGCTCCCCAGCAGCGCCGACTGGAGAGGTGGCTGTGAAGCAGAGAGGGGAGGGCACAACAGTTGCTGTGCGTTCATAGAATATCGCTTTTTGTTTCTAACCAAACCATGAACACCCTCTGTGCTAGTCTGTGGTGGCTGCTGAAGGTCCTGGTATTTAATAGTGCCATTTCAGTCTATTTAATGGTATCTTGTCAGAAAAAAATTGTGATATGAAAGAAACAAAATAAAAGAAAAGAAATAGAAGGCTGGTGCTTGGGAGGAGGATAATAAGACACGTTTAAAAGAAATCTTTATTAAGCTTCAGATTGGCATAATTATGCCTGTAGAAAAGAAAATGAATAATATACAACAGGCCAAAGATGCTGCCAGAGATTGGAAAGTATAGTTGCATAGGCGCAAATGGGTCTCTCAAAAAATCAAGCAGTTTGGGGGAGGGAGGAGTTTTCCACATACGCTTCCACATACATACGCTTCCTGTACATGAACTGCTCTGCTCCAGAGCTGTTTATCTTGATGCTTTGCATAGGCCTGAGTCTGTGTTTTTATCTTTTTTTGCACAGTTAAATCCCTTTAATTGGAAATCAGCTTGACCTGTGGTAGTTCCTGAAAAAAATCTCTCTATATCATCTGGCCCTACTGATCTGTATTTAATGTAATTCTTTTGCTAGGTTATTATCCTTTAACCTGCTGAGCAATTTTTTTAACTCCACACAATTCTTAATGCTTCTTTTAAAATGCGAAGAGTTCCTATTTGTATTGTAGTCCCAATGCTTATTTGTCCTTCTTTTATAAGTCTTCTGTTTCCTCTTACTTGTTATAAACTACTAAATCCTATATTGCTTTTAACTCTTTAGAAATAAATTACCTCCACTTGTATTGTTTAGACTAATACATTTTTGTGAAAGCTGTATGCTCTTCCCTGTTTCTTCCTACTTACTTCTGAGCCTGTTGACCAGTGTCAGCCAAAATTGACAAAGTGGCGCCAGTGTCAAGGATATCAAATTTTTACAGGTTTTATGAAAACCATCAAGTTGGTAGAGGGGGAATGACCCAAATTAATGTTTCTGCTAATGGAAAATCTGCAGCATGATTTCAGGTTATCTGCTCTGTTAGGCCTGACTTAAACTGGCCAGCTGGTTGATGCACAGCTCTGAACCAGCTGGTTATGGTTTGACAAGCTGGTAGGGAGCACAGCTGGGTTTTACAGCAGTGCTGTAAGAGCTCCAGGCCGTGGCCAGAGGAAGCCTGGAGTTTGCAGTGCAGGCGTGCGGTTGTGTAGGATGCGTATATGAGATCAGTGATTCGCACCTGATCTTGAAGTACTCCAGCTGAATGATTCTTAAAATTGAGCTCTGTAAAGCCATCATTTCCATGGAGCAGCCTTCAAACCATGTTAATCAGTGAAATTTTGAGTTAGAAGCTGGTGTATATGCTGGTCTACACATGATTCCAGGCTTGACAGCAGGAAGTTTGTTGAAGCTTTATGTCTGTTGGCATATTCTGTAAATAGATTTTTCTTTTTAAGAGGGAAAAATCCAGAAGGGGAATGGATTTGTAATCTTCACTTCCATCTTAGAGCAGCTCCACGCTGAAAAGATAAAATAACAATTTTCAATTTGGAGGAGTTTTTTTTCTTTTTTGTTTTTTTGGGTGTTTGTTTTTTTTTTTTTAAGGAGGAGAGATTGGGGGTTGCGCTGTTTTTTTCCCAGGGCCTTTTCTAAAAGGTGGTTCGACAGGATGTTTGGGGGAAATGTGACGTTATTGGGTTTTGGCATTCCAGGAGAGCTTGAAGGGGATCCAGCATGTCGTCTTATGCATTCCCTTCTGCACCGAATGGCAAGAGTAAGTCATGTTGTTGACAGCTATGTCAACATGTGAAACTGAATGAAGGACAGGAACTAAACAAAAAGCTAATAATAGAAGAGGCAAGAAAGTGAGAAGTGAACGCTTCGTTAGTAAACTTTCTCGCTGTCACGAGTAAGAGGGTCAAATAGTCCAGCCTGTCCTTATCTGTTACCACAAGCGCCTTTTTGTTGGCAACGTTCAAGCAGAAGAGAGTTGTTTGTACATCTGTATGCGTTTTGTGAGTATGGGAAACAAGCAATTTACCTAAGAAACACTCACAGTGGATTTATATAGAGGCATGCAAAAGTAATTTTGTTTTGTCTCCACTTGTTTAATTATTTACCCTACTTGAAGCTTATGCTTCCAAAAACTTTATAAAGTATGGTCTCACTTGTACCCATTGCAAACATTAAATGTGTGGTTTGTCTGCCAGGCAATGTGAGGCATCGTGTTAGTTGTTTGATGCTTCTTCTGCAATGGAAGAGTCACCTCTGTTGGTTCAGTGATTGCCACAGTATGTGTACTGCGGTAAACTAACCGGCAACTCCAGTACAGGCTGTTGAAGAAACATTCATTCTATTTTGAGACATGCTTAGTCATCCTGTTTTGGCCTCTAACAGGTTATGGGCATTACTCCTTATTTCGTAATCAAACTGATAAACGAGTTAATTGGAAGGCCAGTTTGTAAGAAACAGTTTGCGGTACTGGAGGATGTGAATTCTGGAGTGCTGTGTTATTGCCCAGTTGTGTTGCGTACTGCTAGCAGAAATCAGAGAATACGTTCCACGTTTCGTTGTGTGTTGGTAAACGTAACAGTTTATATGACGCAGGTATGGAGCGGCTGCTAAATATGGGACAAGCATATGTAAGAGGATCTTTATTAGTAGGGAATATGATACAGGCCTCCTGTGTCCTGAAGGCAACATTCAGCTATAAATATTTCTTCACTGTTGTAAATAGGAAAGTTTACTAAAGAGACTTACCTTTAATTTGGCTTTTTCTAATTGTTAAACCTGCTTGTTTGTTTTACTTGTGATTTGGTGTAGGCTGTGCAAAGCACGTCGGTGTCCTTAATTATTAGTATGTTTTGTGTTGATTTTTTAGGTGGCCTGGCAGTATGCAGATCTAGTACATTTTGTGTTTAGCTGAATTGTTACATAAATGAAAATATTTTCTCTTGTCAGAAGTAAAATGCTTTCTATGGGGACTTCTGCTTCTGATGCCAGGACTCTCTTGAAGACTTACTTTGTTGCTTGGCTTAAAGGAAGATGATGTCGTTAATGAATTCTGAGCATCCTTCAGGAGGCTGGTGACCCTTCTGTCATTGGTGAATGCTGTCATGGACAACTTCAAAGGGTAAAGACAGTATTTTTGTGAGTCTGTTTCAGGCTAGTGCTCTGATATAGGAAGTGGTGGGTTAAGTTTTTGGTTTAGATTAACTGGCCAAAGCTCGCTCTTCTCACTCTTAAAACCATTGACAAATTATGGGAACAAATTAGAGGAAACAATTCGCTGGAGTAGCTGTCCAGCTTTCTGTATGAGCTGTCTTTGAAGGGTGTATTTACTCTCCAGATTATAATATAATATAGAGATGCTTGAGCTAGCTTTAAATGAACTAATTTGGGTCTGGGAGCAGTCTTACTGCAAAATATAAGCAGTGAAATAACTTGGGTTTTGTTGAGCTCTATACTGCTGCAGCGTGACTAGGTACCTCAGTACTTTGTTTAAAAGTCGGTTTTAGTTTAAGTATTTCAAAACTGTATTATGGATAATTTTAGCAGTACCTTCAGATACTCTTCTACAGTTGTTTACTGCAAGGGCCAGATTTCATTTCATACTGGATTTCATTTCCATAAGTCAGTGCAAGATTTTTTTCTCTTAGTAAATCCCTGAAAATAATGCTTAATTTAACCATTAGTCTTTTTGTTGCTTGAGTGCTAGTTTTGGCTAATGTTTCTTCATAGTCGTCTCTTTTTTTAAACACAGTAAATGGGAAGCCACACTTAGTAGCCTCCAACTAAATAACTGTCTTCCAATAAAATGTAATAGTTTATTAATGTTTTAGTAGCAATACTTCGTTTAAGAGGATATTCAAAAGAGTACAGTTTGCTTTTTGAAGAATGTTTTATCTGCTCACTATGTTTATTCATTCTGTTTTATCAGCTCTTTTCCAAAACACCACAAGCAGTTAATGCACCTTATAAAGGACTCCTGACCTTTCACATCTTCCTGAGCCGTATCTAGATGTCACCGGTGTTTCCCATGTTAACAGTTCTGAGCATGTTTTACTATATGTGCCTTCGGCGCCGAGCTAGGACAGCGACGAGAGGAGAAATGAACAGCCGGAGGGCTATTGAATCAAACACCCGAGCCTTACCTATCAATGTTGAAATAGTTCAGTATGCCAAAGAAGTGTTGGATTTCAGCTCTCACTACGGTAGTGAAAACAGCATGTCATATACCATGTGGAATTTAGCAGGTATTCCAAACGTGTACCCTAGTTCTGGTGACTTTACTCAGACTGCCGTCTTTCGAACTTACGGCACCTGGTGGGATCGTTGCCCTAGTGCTCGGCTGCCGTTCAAGAGGACGCCACCCACCTTCTGTAGCCAGGACTATGTGGAACTCGCTTTTGAGGAACCAGTTTATCCCACTGCAGTGCACATTCTGGAAACGTATCATCCTGGAGCTGTAGTCAGGATTTTGGCATGCTCTGCAAATCCTTACTCACAAAATCCACCAGCTGAAGTAAGGTAATTTTTTTTTCTCCTTTATGGTTTCCCGTGAGATGTTAAATGCTACAAATAATGCTGTTTAGCAAACTTTACTTCCTAATATTTCTGTGTTTTGTATCTGACCCACTAACACTTTCTTTATTTCTGCATGTTTTTAAAACTGTAGTGACATGTTTTTATAGCAGCTTCAGAGATGTGGATTTTTTTTGTAGGAATTAATGCAGATCCTAATACCAGATTTAATTTGTTTAATGATAGTTTTTGTGTTGGAATTTTTATGAGCAATAATTATTATTTATGTACAAAAATCACTTTTGAAATGGTAGTTCTGAGTTCTTCTCTTTCTCCAATAAGAAGAGCAAATTGTGTAGAAGAGGCTGAGGATTCACAGTTGCTGTATCATCCTGCTTCAAGTAGCCATAAACTCTTTCTTCTCTCTGCATGCTTTAGGTTGTATGTCTAGTACAATCAGGCACTATAACTGTTCATATGGAAATGAGGCCAAAACCAGAGGCACTGAACAGTTGGACAAAAGGTGATGCCATTTGTCTGATCTTTATTTTTGGTCTGATCAAAGGGTGTGAGCCAAACTTCATTTTTTCATTTGCTTCATAGACTAAAAGAAGCTGGTTTGATCCTCTTGGTTTTCCTCATAGTAGGAACTCCTGATGAAATTCCAGTTGGGGGAGGGGGCAGGAAGATGGGGACCTGGGGGATGCTAAGATCATAAAGAAAAACACTGTGTATGAGGTGTGAAGCTCTTAGTGAGGAAGTGAGGAAATAGAAATGGAAGGGTACAGGTAAAAGCACATAGTGCAGAAAAACATTGGGAAAAGCTGTCAGTGTAGTCAATCAAAGTATTCTGTATACATCAAAAAGAGATTAAATGATACCAAACCCATAAAGGAAAGGAGAACTGATAGCAGAAAGACAAAATGTATCCTGCAGAAAATAATGTGCCAACAAATACTGTATTCCTTTAAAATGCACGCTTTGGCGCTATAAGCAGTGTTAAATTGGATGCCGGGTGTTTTTTCCGTGACCTGCCTTTTACAGGTACAGCTAAAAAGCATATTTCTAGGTCTAACTTAGTATCCCATGCTTCCTAATACTAGGCCATTGATGTTTATTCAAAGCAGCTAGAAAATCATCAGGTGTCATGTTAATATATTCAAAATTCCCAATTAATATATTTTGTGTGATTCTGTCATCTACTGTTGTTTAGTGCAGTTGTTTGTTTTACAGCTTTCTAATGATAATGATAATACTGGATAGCTCTAAAGTAAACATCCGAATTCAAGGAACAGTGATAGGTCAAACTAATAATAATAGGCCGCCTAACTTCAGAAGTAGGAGTGCGTTTGGCACTGTAATGCAGAACTTATTTATAGGATGGTATGTAGTGAAGGCAGCTTTTAAGACTTTTGAACTTAGAACCTAATGTGAAATGACTTTTGGCCAATTACTCTGTGAACTTTCATTTTACTTTTTTATTTTATGATGTAGATTTTACTTCTTTATTTTATGATGTAGCACAGATTTATGTAGAGATTATTTCTGTAACTGTTGATAATACTGCGTTAGAGTAAGAGTAAGATAGTGTGCTGCAGGGCAATACAAGGATATAATTCTGAGTAATAAGCTAATGCTACTTTATAAAAATGTCTGTTTAGGTTTTGGTTCTTAAAACAATACACTTTTTTTAGTTTTGTGTAAAGACCAAGAAGTGTTGAAGGAAAGCTCAAGAAATGTTGACTGAAGGAGCTATTTAGTAAGGTGCACTAAAAAGAAGAGAAAATTGTTCAGAGAGCTGAAAGGAGATGGAAGTGAAAATACTAATAAAACTTTTTGGGATGTGCTTTATGACTCTTCTTGGCGTGTGGCCAGAGTGGGAGCTCAGACTTTCCCTTCTTCATAAAAAGGATGAAGTTTCTGCAGGACCCTGCTTTTTAATTTGTAGGAAGGAGTATCTTCTGTTCTGCCTACCTAGGTTAACAACATTTTTGATTAGAAGAAGGTTGTCTCAGGGAGCCTGTGAACCAGTTGACTGTGCTGCATCTTCAGTACTTGCCAATCTTGATGCTAGAGAAGTGTTAGAGGGGCTTTTTTTTTTTTGTTTTGGCTTACCTTTCCTCAGCAGGACTTGTCTGTTCAGAGCTGCACATGTGGTTTGTCTCCTTCTTTCTTCTGAAAGGGACAAACATGATGAGGTATGCAGTATTTTTTCTCTGTTCATTTGCTCACCTTTATGAAGGGAATACGAAGAGCTGCAAGAACGTGGTCTCTTCTGCTTCAGTTCTTGGTTCCTTGTTTTCACTTCCAAAAATTCTCTGAGGTGTCAACTAAGAATTATTTTTTTGAAGGTGGAATGCTGCAGATAATCTCAGGTGATTCTGTGTTTAGCTGATGTTTTGGACTTGGAGAACTGCCATACTATTTTCTTCGGTTAAAAAAGGCCATGTCCCAGTTACTCGAAGGGCACTTAGAACCTTGTTTTCCTCTTCTGACTATTTTGATACTCAATTTTAAATCACCTTATTACCTAAAAACCTTAAAGTGCTGCTTTGTTTTATCTGCTGGCTCTGGATCTGTTTCTTTTTGAACACCAGTGTAGAAAGGTTCCTTTTCACCAGTTCTTACTTTGATATGAAAAGAAGGCCAAATTAACGGTGGAGTCAAAACTGTTGAGAGGAAAAAGTCTGTTGAGACTTGTTTAAATGTTATGCTTAGTGGATTATACTAGTCCAGCTGAGTAATCTTTTTTTTTTCTCCTTGTTTAATATTTAAAACATCAGCTCACCCAAGACACTGCTGTGTGCAAAAGCTTCTAACCTATAACAGGCTCTGTAAGGACTTGGTGTACCACAGTCCCTACTCAAGAGGACTTTATATATTCTTGTAAAAAAATGGCTGTAGCCCACATAGTTGGCCAATGTGTTGCTCTGTTGCTCACTTTGTGCTTCAGTTGCATGAAAAAACGACTTATGCAGGTGTTCAGAAAAAGGTCTTTAGTCATATTCCTCTGTTGCTGGTGCACTGAATACTGCTGTCAGTTACAGCTTTGTATGACACTAAGATCAGCTTTATTCGGAGTCTTTTTAAAGGTAGGATCAGCTTTTTGTGGAATGGGAATAAGCATTTATTTTTCAGAATGGAATGTAATTGTTCCTAAATAATTCTAATGCTTAAAACACAACGGTTAATTTGAAGCTTTTCATTATGGTTTAACCAGCTTCCAGCAATTTGAGGATTCTCTATCCTCTCATATCTTTTGCTGCTTTAAACACAGAAGACATTACATCACTCTCCTCTGCATAAAACAATTTTTAAAAATTATAAATGTCAGAGAAACTGCTGTCTTTATACATGGAGACCTTTTATGCTTTTCATTAGTGCCACTCACACCTTGGCTGGTGAGAAGTGTTTGGTAATTTCTTAAACTATGCTAACATATGTTAGTATCCACGTACAGATTTGTTACGTGAATTATCTGAGTGCAGAAAATCCATACAAAAATTAATAATCTGAGATTAAGGGAATATTGTAGCGTGTAGTCTGTTTTTACGTGGTGCAGAAATCCCTCCCTATTTTGTATTGTGTTGTGCTATGGTGGTTATACTAGTGTAGCCTCGAGGTTTTGTACTGTGGTGCACATTCTGTGTACTTAGGGTTTGGTGACAGCGACGGGTCCCTCTTCGGCCAGTGGAAGAGGCAGAGCTCCACACAGGTGTGATGGGGACACTGCAGCTGACACTGGCGTGAGCCGAACCCAACCAAGAGAATGTTCTTTGTTTCTCATAGTGTATTAGATTGATGGATAAGATATAGCTAGCTTCTGTGATGAGGAAAATGTTTTCTTTCCTGTTTTTTTTTTTTCCCTCGTCATTTACGCAGAAGGCTTACTCTTGGCGATTCCCTAATGAGTTCTTTGGTTTCAGCCCTTTTGAAACATTTTGATACACCTAATAGTGAGCTGCTGTCAGACAGGAAGGGTTCGTGTGTGTTTAAATGGGAGCTTTCACGTCAGAAATAATTTTTTTCAGAAGTTTTTCAACTTCTTCCTTTTAAAAAAATAACTTTGCTTTTTATATTTGGAATATAAAAGAAAAAATTCGTCCCTGTTCTTCTTCTGTCGTGGTCTTTTTTTAACTTAATTTGACAGTTTCTCTTATCTGATGTACGTTATAGTGACACCACATATTCATGTGCTTTTATAAAAGCTCAAACCCAGAGATTCCTAACTAGTCTGGGATGTGTGGCCATGCTTGGGGTGATGTTTCATAGCATATGTCCTTACCGCTCTACAATGATTGCTTCTTTAGTAGATTGGAGATTGTTTTGTGATTACTTTTTTCTTGTTTTCCACAGAAAGTGTGACACTGATTAGGTTGTTTCTCACAGGTGAGATACCATGATCACTTGACTGGCTGGGAGCAGTTGCACTCTGCCTTGTGTGTTCCTGCCGTTTATTTCTATTTAGTTTCTTCCATGTTGTTTTGAATTTTGCTAGATGCTCTTTTGAGCAAAATTCTGAGTTTGATTTGTAAATGAACAGCTTGGCTCAATATCTCGTAGCTCAGCTGTGTTTGCTGCATGTGAGGTTCCTTTCTCCTTCTGAAGGTCGTGAAGACTGTAGAGGCAGAAACTGCTGCAACCAGGGGAGCAGGCTAAGGAAGATGGACAAAAAAGGCTCCCTCCTTCCATTAGGAAGTTCATTGTATTTAGGCAATATGATGCTAATCCAGATGGGAATGTTGCAGATTTGTTTGCTGGCAGCCAGGATAGGGATCAAAATGTTTGATGAGAAAAAAAAATCCCCCCTTCTGATAAAGGGAGTGAAACCATAAAGGCAGTGTACTGAATGTAAAATATCGTGAGTCTCTTGCTTGTAGAGAGTGGCATTCAGATGGTTCTTTTGTTCCCTGTGAATCTCAGATGAAGGCACCCAAAACACTGCTGATACCATCACCACGTCAGAGTGTGATAAGGGACCTTCAGGGCTGTATCTCACCTCTGTGTAATGCACAAGTTCTAGCCATTTGCATCCTTACTTATAACTTGTTTTGACATCTTCAGGGAAACAGCTTTTTCTTGTCCAGATGACTGTCATAGAAGAATGTATTCTGGATTCATGGGACACAGTCATTTTTGAGAAACCCATAAAAAGTTCATGAGGACAGGGCAGTTGAAATATCTTTTACTATTTTAAGTGCCCTGAGTGTTCTTGGAGTCCTGTCTCCTCTCTCTGGTATTTCAGAATTGAACTCTCAAAGTAGAAATGACAATCTGCTGCATATTCCCCCATAGTAATTAGACTGCTGTGAACTCTGCTTATCACCTTGATCTGAATGGTTCTAAAACTGTTCTCATGATCAGTCGTCCCTGCCTTCTGTATTTACAAACTCACAGCTGTGGCCAGTGCTGCACTTTCCAGGTTACGTTGAACCTAGTGTGATGAAGCATTGCTGGCATGTTAGCAGGTAGGAGACGTTTTCTTGTAGGTAGCCTACAGATTATTTACGGAGCACTCTTGGATAAGAGCAGATGGGGATGTATTACAATTGCATATCGTTATTATAATTGTTTCAGAAGTTGCAGTTTCAGCAAAGGTGTGGTCATATTATTCTCTGAGTTTCCTTATGTTCTCCTTGTTGGTTGATCTGAAACTTTCCCTTCTTTTGGCTTTTAACACAGCTATAAGTTTCTTGGGATGGGGCATTTATTTTTTGTGCTTGAATCGCACATAGTGCTTTCTTCATTTTCCATACCAATCTCAATTTTATAATGCAAGAAATCTCAGCAGATTGCAGGCAAAGTTTAATCTCGTCTCACTGGTGAGAAATCTGATTACTTTTCCTAGGACTCACTTCTCCAAAGAATCTTTATTATATATTTTCTTCAGAAGTAACCAGGTCTACTCAGGCATCACCTTAGCCATTAAAAAGCTTTCCAACAGCATTAGGTCAACAAAAAATTAAACAAGCATTAAATATGTGCTCCCATTTGACGCACACCTTGCAAGTATGTTTCTCAGCCTAAAAATCACTAGACTCTATTTTCCTTCACGGTGAGGGAAGGAGAATGGGAATTTCTTTTTTTTTTACCACATAGGTGTATGGAGTCTTTAGTATCAGAAATTTGAGCAGAATGAGTTCCTGGCTGTCTTCATGAGGTAGAAATCTAATGGGAGAACTGAGTCCATTAAAGCTGAAAGGAAAAACTTCACTTGAAGTCCTTATTTTTTTCAATCACTAGAGAAAATAATACAGATGTTATTGCCTCTCATTCAGGCTTTCATGGCAAAGACTGAGGTTTTCTAGCACATTGCTGATGAAACCTTCTTATCAAAGCACTCTCATTGCAACATCTTCGATCAGCTGCTACTGTATATCTGCAAGACTTGAGGATGAACAATGTCCTACCTTCAGTCATTTAATTCTGCTTGATTTTTTGAGAGCTACCTAATTAATTCAAAGGGGGAGGGGAAATTCCTTTGACTTCTTTACAGGTATTTGTTGAGATTCAATTTCTCTTTGTTTTGGGTTAAGTAGTTTATTGAGCAACTTAAGCTTGGAACAAATGCAGGCAACCTCTATTAGGGAAGCTGATCTTGGTATGCACCCTCAAACCAGGACTGACTGTCAAAATGCCTTTCTTCTGAAGGATTTTGAAATGGATGACCATAACAAAAAAATGCTCCAGAACAGAAGAAATGCGGTTCTTACTGAAGCCTCTTGGAACATTAGACTTTTTTGATCCATTTCCAACTGTGGAGTCTTCACTCCCATTCAGATTACATGTAGCCCATTTGAGTGTCAAAGTGCTGATCCTAGACGAAGAGACCACTTCCAGTTGCAGTAACGGGTGTATTAAGAGTATGCCTACACTCAGGAAGAATTTACCAACCCTGACTCAGAGCAATTGCTATGGCCTGTTCTTGTGTGTGGTGCCACCAAGGCAGAGAGGAACATCAAATCAACCTGATAGACTTGAGGTTTTCCAACAGCTAACTCCTTTAAAGTTAGATTGGTGGGCTGTTATTGAAAAGAAAACAGTATGACAAGGACAGTGGAAAATAGTCACCGGTCTTGTTGTTCATCAGCACTTGGTATGTCATGTGGAGTTTGACAAGATTGTAAAGTCATGCTGTGTGTCTTTCCTTTTCTCTAGTTTATTATAAAGACTGGAAACTAGAGACACTGCTTGCCGAAGGAGGTTATTGCTCTGCAATTTGATGAACCTAGACTTCCAGATGCATTATTTTTTTCCAGAGCTCTGCTACTGCCAGATAATCCTCTCTCCGGGGCACCAAAGGAGAAGTCAATAACTGACATACATTCTGTTAAAAGTTGATGGTCCAGCGTGTGCTAAATTAGTGAAAAAATAGCCTTGCGTTTCCCTAAGGATAATTTGAGTGGGTATATGAAAGTGTCTAAGCAAAATGTCACATGGTGATCTGATGTGCTCAAGAAAGGTCATGAGCATTGCCAACATTAAGTATTTGCTTAGGGAATCGACCTGTGTGAGAGGGCGTGACAGTGGGACTACATCTGTTGCTTTTTGCCATGAGTTGACGTTCATTTCCTAAATGAATGAAATCTTAGTAATAACTCTGTCTTATAAGAACTGTTAACCTTACAGTAGAGTTGTCCACTCTCCTACGTTGGTACTTTCTGATGTGCCATATATTCGCCAGTCCTGCATATTTGTTTTTAGTTCATGACTTCTTTTTTTTTTTTTTTTCCTTTGACAGAAGACTTCTGCAGGCCTCCCATTCTGCTGTAAGGTATTTGTGGAGAGCAGCATGATGTAGGATAGGAAAGTTTATCTGTGCACACCTGAAAATGTCCATTGTGAAATGGAAGTTTCAGCCGATACGGATTATTTTTCCTATCCTTGAAATAGTAGCAAATATCAAGCTTCTAAGCCTTATTTATACCATATGCTATGTTTTAATGAAAGTCCTTACTTATGTTTTACTTTCTGTCATGATGGACAAAGTTTAAGCATTTGGTTCTGGAAAATAAAGCATGTTTGATTTTTTTTTTTAAATTAATTTCTTTTCCCCCCGTGTTCTGCAGTATATGTCGGTGTTGAGCAATACTTGTAAGTTCAGAGTAGTGGTATCTGGCAGGGAAAGCCGAGATGCTGAGATACTAGGGAGCAGATACAGCGTTTCTGAGACGCGTGTGGCATGACAAGTAGCCTGAGAGAAATCCTTGAAGGTGGGACTAGAGCAATTGGAAAGAGATGGAGTAGATGTGGAAGTGTTTGGCTTATGCACACGGGATGCAGAGATCGCTGTAAGCGTACTGTCAAGGGGAGTAGCAGCAGTGACTGCTGGAGGCTTCCTTCTTTAGGAATTAACTAGACTTGAGAGAGGAAAAGGTGGGCATCAGTGACTAAAGGACCTCTCAAATCCATTCACTGGATGAGGACCCATGCAGATGTAAAGAGCATGTCTCTGTTTTCAGGCCTTTTGGCAAGTTTGGGAGCACTGAAGCCCTAATGAATATAAGACTTGATTCTCCAGATTACTCAGTTGGCACCAGGTTTCACTGTCATTTACTGGAGGAGATTTGAGGTCTGTGTGTGAAAGTAAGGATGCATGTATGGAAGTTCTGTGTGTGCCCTGAACCTCCTTCTGTCACTGGACCAAAGTGGAGAAGAATTTTTCAGTTTAGCAGTTTGGAAATGCTAATGTTTTTTGCAAAGGACCCTTTAAAAATGACTTGAAGATGCTATTTTCTTTGGTAATTTGACAGTGAATTACTTTTAAAAGGAATATTTTGCTTGCCTAGACAGATAAACGAAGTGAAGTTTAGATTTTTTTTTTTTTTAATAATTTGAAATGCTGCAATTTGAACGGGTTTGATATTAGAGTCTGAGCTGTAGATTTTTCTTTTTTTTTTTTTTTTTTTTTGACACACTCTTGTGGGGTGTGTGCCCTGAACCTCCTTCTGTCACTGGACCAAAGTGGAGAAGAATTTTTCAGTTTAGCAGTTTGGAAATGCTAATGTTTTTTGCAAAGGACCCTTTAAAAATGACTTGAAGATGCTATTTTCTTTGGTAATTTGACAGTGAATTACTTTTAAAAGGAATATTTTGCTTGCCTAGACAGATAAACGAAGTGAAGTTTAGATTTTTTTTTTTTTTAATAATTTGAAATGCTGCAATTTGAACGGGTTTGATATTAGAGTCTGAGCTGTAGATTTTTCTTTTTTTTTTTTTTTTTTGTGAAAACCTCTTGTGGGAAATGAGAGGTCATCTGACTGTATATTTAGATTACATGGCAAGACTGTTCCCTGCATACTTACACTAACATGCTATCCTTGTGAGACATCTGCAATCCATTTGTTGCAATTACCTTACCTTTGAGATGTTAGAACAACTTGTGCGTGAATAACAGTACTTTTAACACAAGTGCATGACTATGAGTATGCAGCTTGTTTTGTTAGTTAGCAATGCAGAGAAAATACGCTAAGGTCATGAATTAGTGTGCCCTGTTAAATTCATCCTGAGGATATTTACCAAATCTAGGGAAAACATTTTCATTGTCTTTTCAACCATGTTTCTCACTTGTTAAGTACTTCTGACAGAGAATCAGTCTTACTGTGTTCAAAGTTACTAAAGCAATTCCTGATTTTAATCCCTATACTGTCTGTGTGTGCAATTTTTTCTTTCACAGATGGGAAATCCTTTGGTCCGAGGCACCTACAAAGGTGAATGGTCCTCAGGCTCGGCAATTCACACCTTGTATCAAACAGATAAACTTTCCCACAAACTTAATCCGACTGGAAGTGAACAGCTCTCTTCTGGACTATTACACTGAATTGGATGCAGTAGTACTACACGGTGTGAAAGAGAGACCTGTGCTTTCACTTAAGACTTCCATGATTGATATGAACGATATTGATGAAGATGAGGATGAAGAAAAATATGGCTGTGGAATGGACACCCTTAATAAACAGTTCAGCATTGTTACCCTCAGGGAATGGCCGACAAACGGATATTTTGATAAACTGCCTTATGAGGTAAGAAAAGCATGTTTATACTCAATGTATGTGTCTTGATCATTAAGGGTGCAAAGGTGCTTTACGGGGTACTGGTCAAGATTGTTGTTTTTTCCAGTACTTTTAGTCTTCATGCTTGAAGAAGAAAATACATAAAAGAGATACGAAAAAATCAAATCAAGATCTGGAAGTGGAAGTAGTTTGTAATAGGCTAGAATTTTCCTTTCCTGTAATCTCTCTTACAAAAACCCAGAACTTTGTTTTGAAACTGCCATAATACTTTCACATTATTATGAAATAAGCTTCTTCCATCCATCTAGGTTTTGAATCATGGTGCCAGTAAAAAGTGTTATAGCTGGACTTCTGTACACTGTCTTGTTTTGATGTTTGCTGCTTTTTATCCTATCATTAGCACAGAAAACAGTTGTGAAGAAACTACTCCTTTCAGATCCCCTGGCAGTGGGGCAGTTGCAAGTGTGGTCGGAGTCAGTGCAGATAAATATTTTCTTCCCTGTAATTTCCAATATAATGAGATTGTGAAGTATGATTGCTGAATATGGGGTGCAGGCCAGGAAATTCTCAGTGGGATGTAGCCGTTTATGGAGGCTAGTACCCTAGCTAGAGTACGAACTGAGAGATGAAATAATTGTCTTCACCTCTCCTGAAATAAACCAGGTTTGCCCATAGTGGAAAGGAGCCTTTACTTGCCGGTCAGACCTCTGGACTTGGGCAGAGACATGATTGTTCCTGCTCTTCAGTGTACTGCAGTCTGGGAAAAGAAACAAGTGTTTGTTTACTGCAGTAACTCATCAAATGCTCAGACTGCTTGTGGCTTGAATCAGACTCGCTTTGGAAAGTGAAGGGCGGACGGTGAGACGTGCTGTCACTGATTGCAGGGCACTTTCAGAAATATGTGATCTAATCAAATAGTATTTTGGTTTTCTCACATCTTTTTGTCTGTAAGTACCCCAGTTCCACACATGAAGGCCATGGTTTGGGTGACCGTGTGCCCCAGTAACCTGCAGAAGTTTGCTGTGCTTCTAAAGAGGAAAGAGAGAGGAAGAGAATGTAACAACTCTCTCCATTTTTCTCCCGTGTATTTATCTTCTCTTTTTAAGTCTTCTCCGGTTCTTGAGTTTGGTGGGGTTTTTTTGTTGTTGCTCCAGTGGAATAATAAATGAGGATACTAATGTCATCCTGAGTTAGCTCTAGTGGTGGGTGTGTGTTTTCCCCAGAGTCAATATAGTGTTTAATATATTTTACTGTTGGTGTTTGTATATCAGTACTGAAGTAAAGAAAGTCCTTTGCATATGCAAAGGTGCAGTTGATTCCAGAACATCTTAAAATGTATAACTGTTTGAAAGTTTCAAAACTGTCTTGGTTTTAGTCATTCAAATAAATTGTAGAGAAAACTTGATTTAAATCTAGGAAGTCTTGTTCGAAAAGGGTGGATAAATTGATTTGTAGTATAAGTAGACGACCAGAGAGATTGATTAATCTCTTTTCTGTTCCACATGGCTATACATATTAAGATTATATTTTAGGAAGTTTTTGTGTAGTCCTGTTACTCCTATGAACTTCTGCCTTCATGTACTTTATTATGCTTTTCTGTTTGTGTACCAGCTTCCTTTTTTATCCATTTTTTAACATGTTTGGTTTCATGAATGCATTTATATGGTCTATCAATACCAAGCGCATTTTTTTTTCTTCTGCTTTAATATAAAGAAACTGAAAATATGGGTGGAATATTTATCAGAAAACTACAAAAGACTATTTCTGGACTGGTTTTGTGACAGCAGAAATCCCAGTCTCCTACTTTCTTGGTCCAGCTGGAAGGTTTGGGTATCAGAACAACAAAAATGTTGTGCTTTGTGGTATGACAATTTTTTATCGCATCAGATATGGGATTAGTACTCTGCATGCTGTCTTCAAGACTGACAAGTGTCAGATTTTTCTGGGAAGTGTTCGAACCTTGTAATGATGAAGTAAGGCAACTGCTGACTCCTTCCAGTTTTGGTTGATACATTACATGAAAAATCGTATCTTTTCATACGTTCATGTTGGTTGCGAACGTGTAACTGTCCTCAGTCTTCATACATATGCCTATTCTTTATTTGAGCTGTTTCAGGTTTTTTCATACTACCCTCCATAATTCACAAAATACAGAGGCTGAATGGTCTTCTGTGCTAATCTTAAAGTAGGCAGCAGTTCCTCCAGCCTTTGTGTTGCCTTTGTTGTCTTTCTGAAACTTCCATAGACTGTCCTTTCATAGATTGTGTTGTTCCTCAAAATGGCATTAGGAATGGCTTGCTGCAGCGTGAGCTCTAAAAACATTGTAAAAGTCTAGATTGCTCTTGCCAACAAAAGAGAAAAATGCTCCTGGGGCACAGACTTCGTTAGAAGAAAGCGTGAAATCTTGGATGAACTGGGTGAGACAATTTTCCTTCCCTGCTCATGGACGGTGTTAACCAGCCCTTAGTAGCTGTGAAGTACTTGTGCTGTCATCTGTTCTCCAGAATTACCTTAAAATTGAGGAAGGATTTTCTAGGAGACATTTCATGTCCTTATCTTTCTTCCCAGTTATCTTTGACTAACTTGTGCTGTTTGTAAAGTGGAAGGAGTAAGGCCTTAGTCTTAGTTGGCTTTCCAGGAATGCTTGAGACCTGATGGCCCAGAGAAGTTAAAAGCCTCTGAGAAAGGTGAGGAATACCTGCCACACCATACCTGTGGTGCAGTTTGAGACTCACCAAGATGTGCCAGGTACCGAGAATCTAACTTTTGTTCTCCAGAGAGGAGAGTCAGGAGAAAGCCTGTGTGCTGCAGTTCAAAAGATTTTTTTTTTTTTTTATATATATATATATATATATAAATTTTGATATAAAAAGATATAAATGACATCTTTGTCAATCCTTGAAGCCAGTTTTTCCTAAAGCTGCCTACAAGATTTATGAGCTGTTCATGTCTACTGGGGAAGTGAATTTCACCGCTAAATGTGGATTTGGCACCTATGTTCCAGGAAAACGGGTCTTGAATATAAGATCTGCATCCCTTAAATGATACTTAAATAGAAGAGTCAGAGCAATAAGCAAGAGCATTTTTAAGTGTCATACACTTTTTTTTCCCTCAACAGTAAACTTCTTACATCTTTCCGGAACAAATATTTGTAGGCTTTCAGATAATCAGCAAGATTTTGTGCCTCTATTTGGAAAGAGAAACTCATGAGGGTCTTCAAAGCTGTCTTAACAGCTAATAAGCATATGGCACAAGATTCCCTTCAGCTAATGGCCGATATACTGCCAGTTGCTATAGCAGACTAGCTTCTGAGCAATGGGACATGGAGAAGATCTCTCCAGCTGTAGTCCTCCTGGAGTCTGGATTATTTGATTGTGCAGTCTGTCGGTAGGATCCTTTTCTGTTCTTTGAATCAAGAAGGGGCTTAAGACCTTTACAGCCTTTCGTTGCTGAGAGGATCAGAGCCTATAGGTTGCCGATGTAAAGCACCCCATACCAAGACACGTTATGTGCGTAGAATAAAGAAAAGGGAGACTTAAATGGTTGTATATTGGAAAGTGGATCTTGCAACTGTTTCACATGTGTTCACGTGCGCTGTTAAATGTGCTTGCACCAGCAAATGCATACTATAGATAGGATTGTGGAACTAGGAACTGTGTTTTTTTAAACTATGTTGAGGAATGTCAAAAGCCCTAGAATACCATCTTCTCCTTCCTGCCTTCTCTCTTTGCCTTATCCTTTGTCCTTTATCTGAGCGTGTCTTACTATCAATTCTAATTAATTAGGGTCTAAGCTGTGGCAGCTCTAGCTGCAGAATGAAAAAATCGCAAGTCATTCATTTGCGTGTTTCCGAATGAGTGGTTTGCATAGACCAGTATAGTTTCATTTTGGAGGGGCTTATAGTGAAGAACTGAAAGAGGAAATTTGTAGAATGTGCAGACATTCTAGGTTTGACCAGCATCCAAGCATTATTTTCTGGACAAATCAAGTTCTGCAGTGTTGTGCCCCAGCCACAGAAAGTAGTTTATTGGGTACAAACGGTTATTGCTTGCTGTTATTCAGCAAAAATGCTTTAAAAAGCTGGAGAGACTTTTGGGTAGGTAAGTACTATTAGGAGCTACACCATTGGTAAAGTTTTACCCCATGTATTGAAGAGTGTGATGGAGATCCTGTCTGAGCTTATAAGCAAACTTTGATGCAGTGAGTGAGATGTCTGTTTTTTTTAAGATGTTATATTTTTAAATTTATAATTCAAAATACATGCATATATGTAAGATGCTGCAGTTAGGGACTGTGATGATGATAAAACACACATGGCTCAGGTACAAATCAGGATCTTTTTTGTGCTCAAACAGCACACAATGAATTTGTATATGGTTGGTTGTTGAATTGTTGTGGAGACGTACGATTTGGAAAACTCCAATTTTTGGAGGTTTTCACTGTAGTGGGTGTTGACCTCACTACATCTCTAAAGCTGGCATGTGCCATGTTTGCCCTGGAAATGGGAGAGAAAGTACTCTTGTACTTTCGGCCCATCAGAGCCTAAAAAGGTGATCAGTGTTGTATAAATTATATTTTGTTTTCCTTTTTATATTCCTTTGTATTGTTTTTCCAATAATTTTTTGTTTTACTGATTGATTTATAAGTAAGTAGTGAAACAATAATGGTTGCCATAATTTTTCATAAATGCAGAGTAAAACCAGTTGTTTGTGAGAAACTGTGTTATGAAATTAGTTTTCAAAGCAGATACTCAATTTTGCAGCATTCTTGGAATCACCACGAACACGGTGTAGCACAATACAGCATGTCATGTCACATACTCATTTTGGTATCAAATTGTACTTTATGCTAGGATACACATACATAAAAAGCAGATTTCTGACAGACACCAGACTCCAGATTAACGGTGATTAATGGTTATTAGCCTGTAGGTTTGGAACCTGTTATCTTTGTTTAATCAAAAGCCAGAAAAAAAGTACTTTATATCTTAATGTCATAGTAGTGACATTTCATTATATTTTTTCATTCTAGATATTATGAAGTAGCATAATTTCAGTAAAAAGCAAAGAAGGATGATTTTTTCTGATTAAGACATTGATGTGGTAAGAGATTTCATCTCAGGTGTGGAAAGACTGCAGCATCCTATATGTTATGAAACACTGATTGAAGTCATCAGTGTAAAGGGACATTGGTGAGGCATTTATAGTTCTATTCACCATTATCTTCACTGCTCAGAGTCACAAAATAACTTTTTTTTTTCCATTGAACAAAATTTGTGTTACTTTGTTTTTATCAGACGTTATTACGCCACATTAATTGTAGACATAAATTCAGCTAACTGTGCAGCCTTTGTTGTTGAGCTCTCTGCTCTAGAAAACTTACTAAATAAGCATAGGAAAAATCTGAGGAAAAAGACATTCATAAAATAGATATTTAGGTGGCTTACAGAGTGTGAAATAGCTGAAAGATTGCAAAATAGTTTGAAGCTGTCTTTCAGAATATTGAAAATTATTTAAAGTTAAATTGATGGCCTTTAGAAAAATAGGTATATGTTTAGGTGTCTACTATTAGAATGACAAACAAAACTGTGCTAAGCAACTTTTAAGCTGAAGTATGGGTCTGAGCCAAGCAAAAATCAAGATAGTAACTTGGGATTGTATCTATGTTCGCTCCTGGTTAGTTTGCTCGCTCTCTGATACCAAAATGCCAACACACTAAATGTCAGGTGGGAGCAAACTTTATTGATTATAATATATTAAGTGCAGTTATTTTATATATATATATGTTACATGTATTGCTGTGACATTGAAATGTCTGTGCAGATCCTCTGCAAGGAGCTGAGGTGAGAGATCCAGGCACCTGCGGAGACAAAACGCCTGGGCTGTTTTTAGGGGGAAGGAGGAGCAAGGAGAAGGGGAGAGGGAAGGCTTGAGAGAAACTGGAGTATATGCAAACATGGTATTTTGGCATTGGAGTTGAAGTTAAATTTTCTGAAGAGTCGTAGATGGTGTTTGAAATCCAAATACTAAATCTGGAGCTGAGTAGGAAGTAACATTTTTCATTTTGCAGGAAGTTGGATTGTTTTCTTATTTCTTCTCTTCCAAAAATGAAGGGGGGAGGAGGGGAGGCGGAAGCTAGCTGCATAAACTGGTACGTTGGAAGTACAATCTGTTTGGATCTCACAAACAGCTTCATTTTTATTTTATGTCAAGCATTTTATTCTTATTTTTGGCGGTTTTGTCTTATGAATCCTTACAAGACATTAAAATGGAGCATTATGGTATTTTGAAAGGGCCACAGGACTCTCTTCAGTTTAAGCTGGTTTGTGGGTTGTGTGTTGTTTTTGTTGGTTTTTTTTTTTTTTTATTTACACTGACTCATTTCAGCCTGTTATTGTTTCCCACTCTGCTTGAAAACACTTAGTTTTAGTTACATAACTTGAGTGCAGGTACCATTTTATTCTTATTTTTGGCGGTTTTGTCTTATGAATCCTTACAAGACATTAAAATGGAGCATTATGGTATTTTGAAAGGGCCACAGGACTCTCTTCAGTTTAAGCTGGTTTGTGGGTTGTTTTTTTTTTTTGTTGGTTTTTTTTTTTTTTATTTACACTGACTCATTTCAGCCTGTTATTGTTTCCCACTCTGCTTGAAAACACTTAGTTTTAGTTACATAACTTGAGTGCAGGTACTTATAGCTGTTAAAGACAGCCCTGGTAAAGTAAACATTAATTTTTAGATTTCATTTTTTAAGTGCATTTTCTCTCAGTTTCTAAGCTAAAGCAGATCTTTTTTGTTGAGCATTTTTGTTATTTCCTAAAGTGAGTATGTGTCTGCGTGTGTTCATCTTCCTTTAGAAAGGAAAACAGAGCATGATAGGAGATGGGATATTTCTTAATTTCTGAGCGTGAGATAAGTCATTACAAAAACATGTATAGTGATGCTAGTCAGAAGAGCTGGTGATTATTCTGAAGCTGAGATTATTTGCTCTGATAAAGGTAAAAGGGGTTTTGCCTTTCAGGTTTGGCTCTGGCATAGAACAAAAATGCTCTCAAAGTGTTACAGCAAGGAAGAGATTACTTCTTAAAAGAAGATCTGAATATGTTGAATTTTTTACCTAGTTGCATAGTCCAGCATGGATGGGAGAGGATATAAGGTAGAAGACAAAACACTGGTTTTTAAAGCAGGGAGCAGAGGAATAAATCTGAAATCAGCTCAGGGTGTGGGGAAACTGGGACATGGTATGGTTTTTCCATGTACTCTGCAAATATGCTACCATCTTAAAAACCAAATCCAGAGAAGAAAGAGGATGCCGACTCAGTGTTCTGATCAACAGCAGTGCAGACATTGTGAGGGGAAATATGTAAATGTAGTGTTTACATGTATATCACTGTTTAAATTGGCATGGATAAGGAAACTTATAATTTTAAAGCTTCGTGTCACTTTCATATGCTGATCTGCTTTTTCCTTTCTTGTTTAATATGTTGTCAAATTGAGAAGGCAGTGCAGTCCTATTTAATAGTTAATCGATTTATTCGAGAAGTTACTTTTAAGTAAAAGGATTTACTTTTCTTTGAAGTTAGAACATCTTTTCTTATTTCTTTGCAGTTTTCCCTTAACATTTCAAGTGCTATATGACCATCTGTGACTTTTTTTCTGTTTTTAATATAGCTCATCCAGTTGATTTTGAGTCACCTTACAGTACCAGACCTGTGTAGACTAGCACAAACTTGTAAGCTACTATACCAACATTGCTGTGATCCTCTACAGTACATTCATCTCAGTTTACAACCTTACTGGGCAAGGATTAATGACACATCTCTGGAATACCTACAGTCTCGCTGCACTCTCATCCAGTGGCTGAATTTATCTTGGACTGGAAACAGGGGAGCCATCTCTGTTTCTGGATTTAGCAGGTCAGTGCTAAATGTACAGAAGTATTTTGACAAGCTCTGTTTGCAGAGCTGCTGCACAGTAGTTTCACTAAGTATTTGAAACCTTATTAAAAGACAAGAAACATCTTTGATTTACTGTAAAGGGTGTGATTGTTGTGATGTAGAAAAAAACAACAGCTAAAACAGTACGAGATAGTAGATACAGCGGCAGAAGTCCGTTTCAATATGTAGAGTCTGCATGTGCCAAACTGCTTGTGACTGAAAGGCTTCTTCCAGGGTGAGCAGTGTTTTGCTTTCTCCTGGGCTTCTAAAAGACTCCACTAGAACAAAGCTGTCAAAAGTCCATCTCACGAAGAAAATGTTTGCAGTTGTTCTTTGTACAGATGAGTCATCAGTAGGACTGTATTAGAATGGCTGCAGTAATAAACTGATTACAGTGCATGCTTACAAGGTATGGGCCGTAAGTAATCACTGGAGTGCAATGTAAATGCAAATATTTTCATAAAAATGATTTAAAACATTAGCCCTGTTGGGAAACAGGGGGTTTGCATGTGCATCTTCCACTGAGCTGAAAATATGACTGTGCTGTAGGTCATTAAAATAGCAAATTCGCAGGGATTCTTCTCTGTATAATAGCTGTGTTCTCTGCTTTCTTAACATATCATTTCTTGCTCCTTTGCTCGTTTGCATTAGTTAAACAGCATCTATCAATGCATTTCATTTAAGCAAAAATTGCTGCTTCAACTAAGAGGTAATCAGCAATGGCAGGTGAAAGCAGAACTTGACTGATAAGAAACAGAAATGTTTAATATATCTAAAAGAAAAAAGTCTTAACTCTCATTTGTTTTCTGAATAAAAAGGTTAAATCAAGTATTCAAATATTTTCTTTCCTTTGGTGCCTGGGTGCCTTCCCTGGGCAAGTAAAATAATTTGAAGCAATACTTTGACAAGATTAGAACGTCGCTTCCTTTTTTCCTGACCTTCCACTATAATCCAAGAACCCTATGCTCTTTTGTGCTTGTTGGTAGAAAAAGGAGATAGATGTCAGCTAGTTGTTGAGTGGGGTACAAACGTTTCTCCTAAATTTGGATTTTGTATTAGATAAGTTATGCAGAGGATAAATATGCAAGCTTTAATTGAGAATTCAACTCTGAAATCATGATGTGCTTGCTTTCTGATGCTTAGCTATTAAATCTGTCCTTTGAAAACTTAATGTATCTGCATCTTCATGGCAATTTTTTAAAATTTTCATTATTTTTTTTTGAACATGCAGTACTGCTAAATATTTTTGTAATCTTGAAAGAAATGAATGACCAAATTCAGAGAATTATAAACTTTTGCGGTTCTGGCATTTCTGACTTGCAGTTAGTTGGCTTTATTGCTAATGACTTTTTTATTTCGGTGCTGAACTAATAACAGCACTTACCTGTAGTCAGTGTTTCCAAAAGAATAAATATTCATCGTTTGACTCTTAATAATCTGTGAATAAACATGGTCAATTTTATATTCATTAATACAGGTGATATTTATTTGTAACAAGGGGAAAAAGTGTTCTTGGACAATCATACAATTGTGAAGTTACCTGTATTTCTAGGCAAAAGTATTTCTTGGAAGAGATACAAGCAATCTAGGAATGGGGATGCAGTTCAATCTTAAATTTTTGAAACAAAGTTGTAAGCTAAATGATTTTCAGGTGTGACTTCTGCTCAGAATTTTCACTCCTGAATCACAACTTCTCTGCTGTAACTAGGTCTGGTTTTGAAAGTCTCCTTTTTCCTAATGCAGAAATAATTTTGCAACTCTTTGTTCTATAGAAGTGTCTTTTCTAGTAGAGTTTCCAAACACAAATTTTCCTTTTGACATTCTTCATCAGCAGGTTTGTCAAATTTGCTGGCCTCCAGGACAGGAAAATTTGCAGCTCATTTGCTATGGAATTATACAGGAGACTTATTAGAATAACAGTTGCTTTTCAAAAGCATTAACGTAACTTTCTTCAAAAAAGTAGCTTCCTGGTAAGAGATACTGTTCCTCAAAGGAGAAATCTCACAAGTAATGTTTCAGTTTTATTGCCCTGGCTGTCATTAAGAAACCACCACCATGTGGATATTGCAGCACCCAGGACACGTAGTTATGAATTCCCACAATTTTTCCTTTTGGACTTCTAGTTGTTCCTTGCCCAGCCTGACTTTTGGGAGTTACTATGCAAAACAGAGTTTCCAAAGAATGGAGGTACTTTGACTTCCCTAGGAATTCTATTTCACATTTAAATTTTTTTTCTAGTTTACTCTTCAGAATGAGTCTTGCAGAGGAGGTTCTCATTTGGCTGGGGAGAGCGCATTGCTGCTTTTATCAGTTACCTGCTGATGTTAACTGTTACTAAAGACTTAATCAGATTTTCAGACTGTAATTGTCCTTTGCAGAAATTAAATACTTATTTCTGTCTGTCTATACGTAACAGTAGAAGACATGTACCACTACGTTTATTAGTGCAAAATCTTCTCTTGCTGCCTACTGCATGAATGTTTCTGAATCAGTTTGTTGTTTTTTCTTTGTCCTGCTCTCTTTGGCTCCCTCTCTGGTCTTGGTATTTTCTCTTTCTTTCTGCAACAGAAATTTTTAAATAAGTCAATGAGGTGTGCCTATAGAGTACCAAGCTGCATCTTTTATTTTGGATTCAATTGGTAAAAAAGTGGTCTTGTAACTTGAGGTTGAGTTCAAACGAGCCTAAATTACTTATTCCAATACTTCGAGTTTGTAAATTTTGTGATAAGTTGCTGCATAAGTGACCATGAATGGCTGCCAAGCCAACTACTTGGAGGTGTAAAGAATTCTGCCTAGAAGTTGTAACAATTTGAAGGACTCCGTTATGCTGTTTTTAAAAGGCCAACTTATATTCGTCAATTCAAGGAGAAAAAAACATTATTTGCTAAATGAAAATTGTAAATAACTTCACAAACACTGCAAGTTGCTGCAGCATAGAAACGGCAAAATGCTAAAACCAAAATACCTTATCCTCATAGATAACAGCATTTCACTTTTACAGGGCCTGTTTTTCATTTTGTTTTCTTTATTTTTGCACTTTTCTCAGCATTTGGTGTTACAGCTGGCAGTGTTGAATTCAAAACTGGCACAGTTAGTTTCATTCTTACAACTATACAGTTTAGGTTATGATTTCTGCAAGTCAGGGCATGTTTAAATGCTACTCTTGCTCAAATTATATTTTGAACTGTCTTTCAAAAAAGTTTTTATCTGTGGTTTCTTACAACAATCTTGAAGTAGCTTGTGTAAATTTGTGTGTTGCTTTAAAAGGTTCATATAGACATGATTGTAAGAAATAACTGAAAATATATATTTTCTTGCAAAAATGTATTAAAGTAGAAAATTTTTACAAAGACTAGTTTTAAGAAATGTGACTGAAGCAAATACTGTATTATCATGAGAAGATAGAATGCTTCAGGCATATGAACATCCTGAGGCAAAGCTGAAGGTATTTTAACTTATTGATAACATCTACTCCTTAGGGCTAAAAATTACTATCATAAAGTTTTGATTTCAGCATATAATATAAATGAGCTGAACTTTATCGTTTAGATTGAACTAAGAGTATATGGAAAAGTGAAAGACAAATGAATATCTGAGCAGTCTCAAGTGTCTGGAATGCAAAGTGACAAGGAACAAATAAAGATTTCACAGCAAGCATTGCGTAAGCAGCACTGCATTTCTCTTGGCGTTAGAGGTATGGTGGATTTCTTCATGCCAGGGAAATATCAGCGTGGGAGGATAAGACCTATATAGGAAAAGTGAGGCAAGTTGGCTGGAGGTGTACTAAATATCGCGATGCTGAATAAATGCTCTGAGGTTTAAGCTCAAGGACGATGACAGTTTAAAAACAGAGTTTCACATGCAGATTTCTTTGTATCACTGATAATGTCATTAGATTGTTTAAACTCTTTTGCTTCAAATATCTGAGGTATTGGGATTTTTATTTACTTCTAACATTTTATACTGTGAAAATGAATTAGTAGTGTTTTATTTTCAGGTTAGTGATGCAGTGTTTGCATGGCAAGCACATCCAGGAATATTTTTTTAACAATGTTGTGGCTGTTAAGGTTTGAAGGCTTTAGTTGCTGTTTCATATAGGTGTATTTTGACAATGTTTAACTTGGTGAGGCTTTGCTATGAATCAAACTAGCAGGAAGGTCAGAGAAATTACTGAAACATGCATCAAATACTCAGTCACAGAAAACAGGAATAATGTGTGACTTGACAGGGATTCTCAATTTAAAAATCGCATCTGTCTTTTTTTAATTTCCACAGTTTTTAGTGAAACCTAGGGTTGCTGTAACTGAGATTAAGTAATAGTTTGTTTTGCACGTTTTTATTGAAATAGTTTAATCTGCGTTGAGAAAAACACATGATCAGGTACTTAATATTCTCCTTATTTGCATGCAATGGTTTAAGGTTTGCTGACAAAAAAAAGGTTTAATACATGCTAGAGTAGAAAATAACATTGTAACAATTAGAATGTCTTGGAAGGAAGGAAGGTGACTTCATTTTAAAAACAAAATTACGTTACTCAGTCTCATTCTCAAGTGTGCATACTCGGATGCACCAAGACAACCGATATATGTTGTTGGCGTAGCCTCGCCGTTCTCTGCCACCTCCGTCCTTCATCTGCTAATCTGCGTGTCCTGAGAAACGGCGCATACGTATGTTAAAGGACCTCAATGACCTGCTAATCTGACTACTAACACACACTGTTCTACCAGCCCTCGCGTTGCCATTTTTTCTTTCTTGTGCTTCTACACCTGTGTGTACCCATTCATTCTCCGGTCATACCAGTCTTAACACTTTTATTGCAGTTTTCTGTCCTACATACTGCTGCTGTTGTGTAACACAGCAGTCCTGAAAGGAAAAACATCATTGTGAGTATAAAAATATCTGGACATGACTTTAAGAAATATGTTAAAATGTAATTCCAGAAGCCAAATCTCATTGTTTTAAATTACATAAGTAAATTTGTCAAGATTCTTTAGGTCCTCAGATCTCTGCTGTAAGGCTGGCGTAGCACGTTCTGATTCAGAGTCAATTAGGCACTTGTAATTTCTTATATTCATTGCACTATCAGTGCAGACACTGTGATCCCAGAAGTTGGTGTCTGCTGACGAATGGAAGTACCAAAAGCCGCCATGCAAATATGCAGTCACCACAACTTTGGAAACTACCTAGAGTAGAAAACAACTCACTGACTGAAAGGAGGAGGAACGTGCTTCAGTGTTTGAGGGGAGAAAATGGAAAAGTGCATGAAGTTTAAACTTGCATAGAACATTAGGGGTTGATTTTATTCAAATGAAGCCTTCTTACATAGCCAGTGCAGTTCCATTACAAACCACTGGAGCAAAAGTAATGTGTTCAGTACTCTCATAAGCATATGTCTAAAGGCATTTTGAGGATTTTGTTTGGGAGGTCTTATGCAGCTGGTTCTGACATGAAGGGTGCTATCTCTTGTACCTTGATTTTTTTTTTTTTTTGGTACCTTCTTTGGCCCATCGGATATGCTTATGATGCAGACATGAATTACAAGACTGGAAGTTGTTAATAGGCTAAGTGACCCCATGGTCATGATGGGTTTAACATCAGCATGAGCAAATAGCATCCGAACTGCAAATAGATGTATTTGATGTTTCAGAAGGATTTCACTAGGACTAACTTACTTCCCAAAAGCTGAAGCTGAAGGGGGGGAAATGAGCAGCAGTTCTTGAGAGCAGGCAGAAGGTGATGGAAAGTGAGTTTGTTTTTTTTTATTTAAAAAACAAAACTAAAAACACCCCCCAAACAAAAAAAAAAAACCAACCAAACAAAAAAAAACCAAAACAAACCGAACAAAAAATACCCCCCTCCCCAAAAAAACCCTCTACAACACAAAAAAAACCCAATAAACAAAAAACCCCCTGAAATACTGCAGTCTAGACTGAGGATGAACTTAGAGGGAAAGGCCCAATCCAATGTCTAGCAAATTAAATGTACATATTCGCATTATTCTAGGTTGTTTAGTCAGTCATATTTCATGACAAACATGAAAGGATGAAGGGAAATCACTTCAGAAATTGTGCGTATAAAATATTGATGATAAAAGCAAAACTAAAGGGATGGATGACTGTGCAGAAAGGAGGACAGACTAAAACCAGGAACCAGTCAGTCCTCAGTGATTAAAGGAGAGAGATGTGAAGAAATGTTGATTTGGGTAGAAGGTGTATTTTTGGGGGTTGTTTGTTTTCAAATGAGCTAAGTCAGAGTCAGGCATTGAGTGTCTGTTAAGTTTCAGAAGTATGAAGGCAATGCCACATTTGTTCTGAAAGCATGAGAATCCGTTTTCTACCTTGCCATATGGCTTTGGAGATCCATGTAGAAAGACATTAGGAAAAACCTCTGTCCTGAGCAGCCTGTTAAGTGCAAACAAAGACTAGGGTGCCTTGATCGTTGGGAGAACTTTGCAGTTCTGCCTGATGTTCTCCACCCTGTGCTGGTTGGTGACTTCCTCAAATTCCTCCTTCTCTTTCTGTTCATCTCTTTACTTCATGCCTGTCAGCTCGTTCTTGTACTCTGCTGCATGTCCCTTATCCCCCTTGCCTTTCTGTTTAATGTCTCCTAAATAACCTTTTCCAAAAAGGCAGCAAAGCCATGAAGTGCAATGCTCGTTGCTATTGCTGTGTTTGCTCTGTTTGTGTGTTTCAAGTGTCATGAATTTAAATAGAATGTTATGAGGATAACAACTCCTCAAGCTGGTGAGCCTGGAGTTCTTCTCAAAGTCTAGGGGGTTAAATGAGTGTTTCCCTGACCTGGTAATGTTAACTTTTAACATTCCTAGAAGCAGAAAAGCGTTGATCTGTACCAACGTTTATAACAGCCAAGCCCTGTTAAATTATATGGCAGTTCACCTAACATCCATTATTGTAATGGAGTAATTCATAAAATATTTATCTGTTAGCAAATTAAAAGCTAGAGGTTTAATAAGTGACGATTGACAAGGTTTTGTGGAAAATATCACCATTCAAACAAACCTGATAATTTGCTGATGAAAGAAGCTGTGTGAAGTATTGTTAAAGCACTCATTAAATAAAGGAATTGGCTAATTGGTAATCAGCAATGAATCCATATGCCTCTACTCTGGTTTCCAGGGGATTTCCATCCTGCCTTTCTCCATGGCACTGTTGAACTCTATTGCTAGCCTAAAATAGCAGTCTAATGTTTAAATACCTGATGCTAATTGTTGTAAATTGTCATGTCATTTCAGCTCTGACACGCTCATAAGAAGGCTTACCAGTCTAGGTGAATTCACTGTATCCAGTATGAAAACGGCAAATAAGTGCTTGGTGCTTGATGACCTCTGATTTTACAAGCTAAAATAGATTCTAAAGAGAGCCTGTAGAGTTGGACAAAAATAGCTGAGGAGTCAATTTGCAGGCCATGCTTGGCAGAACCTCTGGGGCTTATGTCTCCCCTTTCATGTCTCAGACCCTCTCTTTGTTTCTGTTTGCATAGGCTCATAGAAATGTTAGGGACCTCTGAAGGTTGTCTACTCCAAGCTCCCACTTGAAGTGCCAGTGTCCCCAGTGCTAGATCAGCTCAGTCAAGGTTTCAGGTGACTCTTGGAAACCTCCAGGGATGGAGATGCCACCCTGGAATCTCCTTTCCCCTCCGTATTGCATAGGATCTGCATAATCAAACTTAGGCTGTGTAATGTCCAAGATGAAAGGAATAAAGAAAGGTGATGATGAATGGCAAGTATGACTTGAGTGAGTAATGAAAAAGTAAGGAAAGGAGAAGGCTTGAAAACTTGGATTTTGAAAGACGGACTTCAAGTCCTGCACTACTGTTAGTGTCATTGAGGAATGCCTCCCTGCATGTGTCTGCTTTTAAGACCAGCAGCTATTTCATCCTAAGTTTCAGCAGG